AGTTCGCACGGCGCTCGTTGGCGCTACGAGCAACCGCCCCGCTTGCCCCCCGATCCCCGCGCCTATTCCGCGATTCAGTGACGCGTTGTGTACATAACGTATGTGACCGATATGACACAATCACGTAGTTGCCAATGTGCACCACAGCGCTGAACATTGCGCTGGCGAACAGTGATAACAGCTAAATTGAGGCCGTGATCGCTCTCAGTCTTTTCTCTGGTTCCACAAAATCGGAGTGAAAACGGGTTATGATGGGGAGGAAACCAATCAAAGTAATTTCCGTTTTATAAAATTATGTTTTATATGAACAAAAGAGTAGCAAAAAAATGAAAACGGAAATCGTTCGGTTATTTGCGATTGGATAACCTCCACATATTTCTCTTTCATTTTCTCGGAAACTGCATGTGACCGCACCCTAAGTGCGGTTCGTGAAAGTCACCTCGGAAGATTCGCGTAACACTCGGTTCCTATTTCATATAGACCAGTCGCCCGTCGTCTTTATTCCCAGTCTTACCCGTGCGACGAGTCGGACCAGTCGGAGGTCCTGCGCGCGCGTCATTAAAAGGATCATTCGATTTGTTCTCCATGCTGCTCCGCGCATTGCAATCATTAGGTGTCATTAAACATCATTGAGACGGTCCTCGATCTCGGTCAAATCTCGTCGATGAAATGTATTCGCGGACCTTCGTACTGCTGTCGCGACCCGGTTGAACGAGATTCTAATCGACCGGGTTCGGCATGTGCCTTCATGTTCCCCAAGAACGTGTCGAGCGGATATCCTTAAACGATATATCTATCTGTGACGGGTACGTTTCCAGCGGGACGACGACGATGACGATGACGACGATGACAACGACGATGACGACGACGACGACGACGACAACGACGACGACGATGACGACGACGGTGACAGTCGTCCTCGCCTCGATATCGCCGCAGCAACAGCGACCAGTGAACGTTCTGAGTGCTCTCAACGTCTGAAATCTCGATGAAACTTATGTCATCGATATTGTCGCCGTTGGAATTGTCACCGTCAGAATCGTCGTCGCTGTCAAAGCCGTTATTGAGCTCGCTACCACCGTTCAAGTTGTTGCTGTCGTCGCTGACATCGTCACCGTCACCGTCGCTGCCGCCGCCGCCGCCTCCGCCTTCGCCGCCTCCGCCTCCGCCGCTTCCATCTCCGTCGCTGCAGCAGCCACACTCTTCGTCAATATTCATATCCTTCTTCATGTTATTACTGTTGTTTTCTATGTAACTCCGTTGCTCCGATTTTACGGCCGAAAAGGTCAGTGCTGGACATTACGATTTCGCAATAGCAAAAAGCAACGAGGATGGCGGGCAAAGGCACAACCACGACAAAACCTCTGCAGGTACCTCAAGACCTGCAAGAGGGACAAAAGTTTATTAAATGGGATGAGGTTTGTGTATATTTGCAATTTTCCTAGTTTAATTTCTACATCAAGCGCTTATAAAAAAAAAGCAGTGTAAATATAAAAAAAGAAAATTGCGATAGATATAGAAGCGCCTGTCTTTTCTTACTTGATAAAAACAAAGAGCAAAGTCTGTAATTTTTTACTTTAAAAATGTCTGTTTTTTTAGTTTTTTTTTTGTTTGGAATATCAATTTGATGTGTTGCGGCCAAATATATTTTGCTTTATATTTAAAAAAAAAACACATTTAAATAAAAAACAGGCATATAATTTAAAAAATCAGTCTCTTACACATAGTATCAAATGCTGTGTTATGATAGGATTCTGGGACAGTAACACCAGTGACTCTGAGAGTGGATAAATATGGTTTTTATTTATACTGGGTAGATCAGAAAAATGAAATGGATATGCTGGACATAGCTATTATAAGAGATACTCGAACAGGAAAATATGCAAAAGTACCAAAGGTATCAGTCACGCCTATATTTTTTAGTAATTATTAATATCTTACACAGCAGTTTTTTTTTACATGTGCACACATAGATATAAAATTTTTATTATTTATTTTTTATATATGTATGTAAATAATATACATATATACATATATACATACACATATATATATATATATATAAACTATATAAATATTTATACTTGAAGCTGCAATTTTACCTGCACTAATGTAGCAAATATGTAAAAATGTGTAGTAAATATGAAAAATAAATAGTTTTTTTTTTTCTAATTGTAACAATGACGTACGGAGTATCAACACATAAATTATTGACCAATTTATAAATAGATGCATTATCTGCTCTTTAGGTTCTATACATAGCCTGCTTTTTTTTATCACATCTGCTACCACCTATAATGGATAGATAAAGGCAGTTCCGTATTCATTGAATTAACAGCATATCTTATTGGATCCCATTTTCCTATAGATCAATAAGCGGAACTTTGAATGAGAAAAGCTGGCACACTTTTGCATTCAGCATTCTACACTTTGTTGGCTTGTTGCATGGAAAACTTTTTCTTTTGTGCTTGCTGACACGTTATTAACAATTTTATCTATTTATACGCGTTATGCGTTTATGGATGTCGAAAGATAAAATGGAATGCGTTAGTAATGTTAAGGAAAAAATAAGCGAGAGAAAAAATTACGTAAAAATTTTACGTGAAAATTTTTCTGTAGGATCCGAAGATGAAATGTCTTGTCACAATGGGTTCTCAAGATTCCCTGGAGGACAAAACTTTGACAATTTGCTACGGTTCCGACTTTGTCAACATGACGTTCATTAATTTTTCCACAATGTGTGCCGATATAGCTCGACAATGGACGGAACGACTTTTCGAATTCGCGTATAATTTAATTCAGTTAAACACCAGCACAACCATGTTTTTACTAAAAGCGCACACCAAGCTTACGCTTACTGCTGATAAATCTGGAAAAATACCGGTGAAGGAGTGAGTATACGCAAGGTTGCGCGTGTGATTCTAACATTGTTTGCCAAGTGTCATTTTTACATCTGAATCTTATTGCAGTATAATAAGAATGTTTACACAAAACAAAGACGATCGCAAGCGCGTTGAGAAAGCGCTCGACATTTCTGGTTTTCCATCGGGAAAAGTGAGTCTTTGTTGTGCTGTAGCACAAATATCAGTCTCGAACTGTTCTATTTGATTTTATTTTCATATAATAATAATTTTCATATAATAATACTGGATTGTTTTTTTTTTTTTTTTTTTTTATGTGTAGGATGACGTCGTGCCGTTGTCAAAATTTCAATTCGAGGATTTCTTTAACTTTTACAAATCTCTCACTCAAAGATCGGACGTGGAAAAAGTGTTCGAAGGAATTGTTGGCAACAGTAAACGCAGGCTGATGTCTGTTATGCAATTTGTAGACTTCTTGAACAACACGCAACGGGATCCACGCCTCAACGAGATATTGTATCCGTATGCAAATGAAGCGAGAGCGAAAGATATCATAAATCAATACGAACCTAACAAGTCTAATGCGAATAAAGGCCAACTCAGTTTTGATGGGTTTTTGCGATATCTCATGAGCGAGGATAATTCGATCGTTGCTGTTTCCAAGTTTGAATTGTCCGACGATATGGATCAACCCCTCGCGCATTACTTTATAAATTCTAGTCACAATACATACTTAACAGGTACGTGCGTCATTTAAAATACAATGTTTTCACTTGATTTTGAAGAGTGACGAGACGAAAATTTTTTCCGATTAGGACATCAGCTTACCGGAAGGAGCTCGGTTGAAATCTATCGTCAGTGTCTTCTGGCTGGTTGTCGATGTGTTGAATTAGATTTTTGGAATGGAAAATTCGAGGAACCCGTCATTGTTCACGGGTAAATAAAATGTCACAATATTGTTTTTCGTATAGGCATGTAACGTAGTAATTTCTCATAGATAAACAATACAAACGCGTCTTTTTAGATACACATTCGTGCCCGAAATATGTGCGCGGGATGTCATAGAAGCGATTGCTGAGAGCGCTTTTAAAACGTCTGAATATCCTGTCATACTTAGTTTCGAAAATCACTGCAATACCAAGCAGCAAGCCAAGATCGCACAGTACTGCAGAGAGTTTTTTGGAGAAATGTTGCTTGACGCGCCACTCGAATCGCACAAGGTAGTTTTAGGCACCACTCTCGACGAAAAGTGTGTGTTGTTGTGCGCAAAGAAGCAAATGATCTTTCTTGTATTCGTAGTTAGAGCCAGGCCAGGAACTTCCGCCGCCGTTGTTGTTAAAGCGCAAGATAATAATAAAAAATAAAAAGAAGCATCACCATCATAAGAAGCAGAAAAAGCAACAACCACCGTCAGGCGAGGGTGCTCCAAACGAAATCGGGAATTCATTGGAGGAGAACGGCGGGGATTTACCTCAAAATGAGGCGACTGACGGTGTTGCGTCTGAAAATGAGCACATCGAAAATGGGGACATTTCTCATGCTCCGATGCTGCAGCAGAGACAGGGTAGTAAAGACAGCGGTCAGGACGACGAAGGTTGGCAATAGAAAATTATAAATATATGTGTAAAAAAATATATATATTTAATATATAAAATTATAAATGTATATTCTTTTACGTGTTTGGGGAAAAGACACTTGATGAATTTTATTTTTGCAGATGACGAAGATGAATCGAGCACGGAGGAAGAGGAGTGTAACGTGGAAGATATGAAATTGAAAATGGGCGACAAAGCGGCGGATAAACCATCTAAAGCCAAAGAGACGGAAGCCGGTGCGGAAATTTCAGCTCTAGTTAATTACGTGCAACCTGTACATTTCAACAGTTTCGAATCGGCTGAAAAAAAGAATCGCATGTATGAAATGTCGTCTTTCGACGAAAAGCAAGCTACAACTCTCTTGAAAGAAAAGCCACTGGAATTCGTAAATTACAACAAGCATCAACTGTCCAGAGTTTATCCATCGGGCACGCGATTCGATTCCAGTAATTTTATGCCACAAGTATTTTGGAATGCGGGATGTCAATTGGTTGCGTTGAATTATCAAACACTTGACCTGGCGATGCAATTGAATCTGGGAATATTCGAGTACAATCAACGTTGCGGTTACCTGCTAAAGCCGGAATTTATGAGGAGAAAGGATCGACGATTCGATCCTTTTGCCGAGTCCACGGTAGACGGTATTATAGCGGGCACTGTTCGTATTCATGTGATATCCGCGCAATTTTTGATCGATAAACGAGTGGGCACTTATGTGGAAGTAGAAATGTATGGTTTACCAGCGGACACCGTGAGAAAGAAGTTTCGCACAAAAACCGTGCCGAATAACGGGATCAACCCAATATACGACGAGGAGCCGTTTGTATTCAAAAAGGTTAGACAATAATAAAACTGCATATGTTTAAAAACAAATAGCTGTAAAATATTTATTTGTGTTCACGCGCTGTTCTCGTCACATTACCAGGTAGTTCTGCCAGAACTTGCTTCAATAAGAATAGCCGCTTTCGAAGAATCCGGACGTTTGATCGGCCATAGGGTGCTTCCCGTAGTCGGATTATGCCCGGGATATAGGCACGTTGCACTGAGAACGGAATGCGGTCAACCGTTGCCGTTGGCAAGTCTGTTTCTACATGTTATCGTGAAGGATTACGTTCCCGATGGTCTGAGCGAGCTCGCTGAAGCTTTAGCGAATCCAATCAAGTATCAGAACGAAATCGAGAAGAGGGCGAACCAATTGAAAGTTCTCACAGATTGCTTGGAAGCACCGGAAGAGATTGAAGTATGGATTTTAAAAATGTGTCAATTTACTAGTTACAGCTCTAATAACAACTTGTTCTTTTTAACGCTATACGCACTATAACAGTTTTAACACTTTTTACTAACGTTTTGCATAGGATAAGAATAAGGTTGGCGATGCTGCTAGTTCCGCTAAACCAGCTGTAAGTTCTCTAGTACGATTAGACTTGTAATGACATGTGTCGGTAACGACACCTTATGTCTTTACAGGAGGAAGTTGCGAAAAATAAACGAGTTCCGTGGCAAACGCAGTCTATGGGCGAATTACCGGGTCTTTTAACCGCTTCCAGTAGTGTACACGGTAGACCGTCTATCGCCGGTTTGAGCAGTTCGGAAACGGTGGACATGGACGATGTCCCACCTACTCCCGCAGTCCCGGCTCAACCAATCGAAACAACGTCCACATCTGCACCGAAAAGCCCAGTCAATGCTAGCACTAGTGAATATTGTTTTCTCGATTATTTTAACGATGAATATATTTTGATCTTTTTGCATTTTTTTGCACCGCCGTTTGTCTATCGACCTTGTTTCTTACAGCGGGCGATGAAATAGTAGCAGAAAATTTAGAGAAGTTTATGGAAAATAAACTGGTTAGGGAAAAGAAAATGGAACTTGAGAAGAAATTAGAATCTCTGAGGAAGAAACACGAAAAAGAAAAGATCCGAATGCAATCGACCGACGGCGAGAAGCATAAATCAAAATTCTACATGAGCAATAAATTAGTGAAGCGACTATCGAGCAAAAACATGTAAGTATATTATACACATGTGTTATATATAATACAAACGTGACATAAAAAGTTTTATCTTTCAATGTCGTACGATTGATTGATAAAGCAGTTTCTCGAGTGATGTTGGCTTAAGTACCTTGGCTATTGTCGAGTCTTCCGAATGTCTTCCGGAGAATGCGGAAAATCGCGAAGGAAATGAAAACAAAGGAATACCCAGAAGTCAAAGCGAACGATTTTTAGCCATATGCAAAATGCATGCTCAACAAGAACTTGAACTTCAGGAAAAATATTACGAGATTCTTTTTGCTACTGTCGAAAAAGTGATGAAAGCGTCGCAGTCTAATCAACTGAAAATGCTGCAAGTTCAATTCGACAGAGAAACCGCGGATGTGAAACGAAAGCTGCAGGCTACGCGACAAGGCGAGGTAGTTATTCACTGGAATTTTCGTTTCTTTTAAATAAGATGCGTATGAAACGAGCGATATATCGTATAATCGTTAAATATTTTTTGTTATTGTCAAGGTCAAACAATTAGCCAAAGTGCACAAAGACAAAGCGGAACTGGAGCGCATAAAAAGAGAAGTCGCAAAATCGACCGTGGAGAAAGCTGTGAACGAATGCACGCGTTTAACAAACATTTATGATAAAAAGAAAGAGGAACTGGAAAGGCAGCACGAAGAAGTGCGACAAAAGTTAGAGGAGGAACGAGCCAAGGTTTGTATATCCCTACATAAAGTTTTGACATTCCGCATATACGGATGCAATTTTATCTTTCTTGTCCTATTTAGTAACGCGATGTTTCCTCGAATCTTATTTGACACCAGATTTTTTTATCTGATTTTTACCTCTGTTTCACTTACTTTTCCTATCGTCGTTTACTTTTTCTCAACGAGCGTTCAAGAGGACACGTTAACAGATACAGTTCCCGAAAAATAAATTTATAGTTGATTCTACTTGCTTCTATTTGAGCGAATTCTCACTCATTCCGGTCTTTATATGCGAGAGTTACCGAATGAGTAACATGTCACACATTTTGACGTATACAATAACGTATCTCTAATGGAACTTTATATATTTTACTGACAGGTAAAAGCTAATTTAATAGCGGAATATAATAGTCGCTACAGCAAATATGAGAGTGGCGAGTTGTCACTATCCGGCGGAACTACTAGTAGCATGTCCGAATCACTTAGTGACAATACATATTGAAAATGGGATTGTTTGATGTGTGTTTTGATCGAGAGGCAGTGACGTCGGGTCATCAAGTCTGATGCCGTTTACACGTTGTTCAGAGCATCCAATTACGCAATTTGCTACATCAAACGCATAAGTCTGAATTTCGTAACAAGATAGATGTAGGTGGGAAACATGGGAAGCAACTGAGATATCGTTTGTATTTTTTTCCTGACGAACGCAAACGAAAAAAAAAAAAAAAAAACGAACCAATATTCACCGATATTACGACTTAAGAAAACAATGTTGGCCTGCAGTGCTTGTATACAGCTGCTCTCAACAGAGAACGAGAGGCAACATGATACCGTCTCGTATGATATTGCGATGACGGTACGTTATTCGAAAGATCGAGCGACTTCAGGCAGTTTGGTGCTATACACGGATAAACAAAGCACAAGACGAATAACGCACTTCAATTACGATATATGAATACAAGTTATGTGTATATATTATGTGTACTAGAACTTTTATCGTTTAATACTTCAGGAGATTAAAGTCAACGGATACAATGAGTGCAAGTTTGAAGTGATATTTATCTATTACTTCAACGCACCAACGTGTCTTTTAGTACATTGATTATTACTCGATCGACGGTGTCGATCGATTCTTTCGATCAATCGTGCATCTCTAGGTGTGTGAAAACTCTATGTCCTTGATCTCTTTAATGAATAAAACGCATTCGCTTAGTAAACAAAAGAAGAAACGGAAAGGGGACGGAACTTCGACGATAGATAAGTAAGTTTCGCGTTATTTGCGCACAGTATTAAGCAATCTTAGAAAAGATTTCGGAATTTAAGGATGGTCGCTGACGTGACGCGGTCGAAGTTATTTACACGTATTTCGAGTATAACGATCTTAAGGCGATCGTTCGCGAGAGAGAGAGAGAGGTATTCTAAATAAGAAAGAATACTATACCTTCCTAAGTGCTAATATTTAATATTGTTGTTATATGCATAAGAGACATCGTTATTTAATTGACTACACAAAACAAACCAAATCTGATCGCGCGTTTAAGATTTAATTCCGTTTCGCACGGCGGGGAGAAGAAAAACAAGAGATTGATCTTTAACCATTTACGAACGTTCACAGATCTCAGGAGATTCCAGTCAGAATAATGTGTGTAAGTGGATGAATCGCAAGAATCTCTCTCTTTGGCCTAGAAAAGGTTTGTAAAGCTTTGAGGGAAGATTGCATAAACGCGCGAGTGATCTGATATATTTTTGACTGAAAGTATTCTGTAAAAAAAAAAAAACTTTCTTTTTCTCATATTTATACTATGTGAAGAGAAAATAGCAAAACATTGTTCTGGCCGGAGACGTAAGGGTATATATCTCGGTGTGTATTTCACTCTGTAAAAAAACAAAAAAAAAAAATTAAGCGAATCTCTTTGTATTCTGAGTAATCCGGTCGGGCAAACCTCTTTGATGAAGACAATCAAAAATGTTATATATATATTATACATACATATATACATACATATAAATATATGTATATATAATATACGAGATAACATTGTCCTTGTTGTTTCTAATCGTACGATACATTAGATTACGATACGTGTATATAAATATGTGAAAGAATTCTTAATTGTAACAAACTTAGAGGAAGAGAGAAAGAGAGAGAGAAAGAGAAAGAAAGAGAGAGAAAAATGAAAGAAAAACTTTTATCGTATTAGTCAGAAACTTACATTTGCTATTTATTTATAAACATATTGAGTTAAGGATCGAAGAGATATATGCTCGATGTCAGTCATATCTTAGCATGCCGCATCAATCTCTCATTATTGATTGTTGTTCTAAGTGTATATTTAAGTTTTTTTTTTGATTATTCATTAAAGAATAATAATTCTTTATGTAAAACATTCAAAAGAAGTTCGGTGAAAGTTCAGTTTAATGGACAGAACGATTTTGTTTAAATTTCTTTACATATTTTTATATGATGAAGCATATTCGATAGCGCGTGCTTTACGTACGCGCGCGTACGCGTGTGTTGGTACTTGTGATGAGATATTTCGTTTTACAGTGAATATACACATGATATTACAATATATAATATTACCATACATGATATTATTATAATATATATATATATATATACATATATATACATTTTTTGTAATTAATGCGCGAGTACATACTTTGTCGTATTTTTGCTTTTTTTATTTTTGTTATTCATATATTTGGTTTCCTGAGACATTGCATTTTGTCTTACTTTTCAAAACTTTTGGTTTTGAATAAAATAAAATGAATAAACTAAAAAAAATTTGTCACATTTGATATCTTGTCGCGTATAATTTTTCAAAAATTATCTTTGAATGACAAAAATGCAATATTATATCGTTATGAATTTGAAAGTTTATCTTTTGTTAACTTATTTGACTCGCACTTTGAATCGCACACGAAAAGTCGTTCGGTAGCACAAAATGTATTGCACAACTGCTTTTGAAGCATTTTGAATTTTGGAAATTTATTTGCTTTTACGCGTGTGTATGTGTCTATATTAAAATTCACGCGCAATTGTAAATACATCTTTTTATCGTCTACGTTTATGTCCTTACACAAAAAGATTTGTTTCATCCAGTGTTTATATATATATATATATATTAAAGAGTAATTATAATATGATACAATTTATTCTCAAACACAAAAGTTGTTTATCTGCGCAACTTGGATACGAATCTCAGCACAGATTGTACCTATATATGTGTATACATATATATATATATATATATGTTTGATATTTTATATTAAAAGATTGTGAACACACAAAGAGGATATGTATTGTGTGTTAATCTCAAATTAGATTTATTTATCTATGTTAATCTCAAATTAGATTTATTTATCTATGTTAATTTATTAGTTCTATCGAGCTTATAACTTGTACCTTGACTTTTCTAATTTTTTGAAATTATCTTCGAACTACGGCAAAAACTCAATATTATTTTTTTATACGAGTTTTCAATTGAAATCTTTTTTTATATTTATGTTATAAATGTGTATGTGACTTGTATGAATTTTATTTCATTATAGAAATATGTTGTGTTCACATACACACACATATGTCGCGTGCAATAATAATTGTATATACACAGCATATACAATTATGTTGAGAAATACGATTGTTAAATTTATTATTATTTGATTATATACATTCTTAATTTGTTTTGTATTAGTGTTTGTAATTTTTGTAGGTATGTCAATTTTTTGGATGTTGAAAAACATATTTGTTAAATTTATTAGATTATATACATTCTTATAATTTGTTTTGCATTAGCGTTTCTAATCTTGTGGGTGTATCAACTCCAGATTCTTCAGAGACAAAAGCAGCAGATGCATTTATTATTGCAGGCGATAATAAGAGCGCGTCTTTCGTAAGATTAATAATATAATCTCAAAGTTATAATATCCCGATGTGCACTTCTCCTTCAAGTACTCGTATAATGAGACGTTTCATTTGTTCCACTGTAAATAGATATTACAGTATCACGTCTATTACAGGGAAATGATTACACACACAAACACATATACATAATCGATAGACATAGCTTACAAATAGACATATACACGAAACCATTGAGAGAATACGAAGAGTTACCATTTTTTAGTCGATGCCAATTATCGCGATAAGATTCTTCCAACAAATGAAGTTACCGGTCGTTCTTCAGGTTGTAGCTTGTAACGCGACTGATTTTATCTGGCCACGGGTGATGATAGATAGTCGTAATAATATTAGATGATATTTATATTAAATATATGTGTGTGCAACTCTCTCTTTTGTCTAAGAATAATAAGTCTAAAACACCACTTGAGAAGAATGTATAATAGCATAATTATACACGTGTGCAAAACAAAAAACTATACGCGTACATGTGCGTGCAAATGTCGATGCGATCGAGTGGATACTTCGTGAAATCCTATATACACTTCGCAAAACACATTAAACGACTCTCGCGGTGATATAACGAACAAAAACATTTAAACAATGTGCAAATTTTGCAGTACACTGAATTCTATTGTTATGTAACTTATCGTAATGCTACTTGCGCTTCTTCCAGTGTTGTCTTGCGTATTAGTGATATTTTTATTTCTCGATTTCTTTCGGGAAACGTTATTTCATTACGTTCGTGAGTGTTTTTCGAGATGTTACGAAACTTTTTTAAGAAAACGCGCATTTTATATATATAATATTGTAGCATAAGCGTAATACTGTATATCAATGCAACAAAGAAGAAGTTAGTTTCGAGATGTTTGCAACTGTTGTGTCAAAATACACGAGAATGACAATGCGCGTCTATCTCTCTCATATCGCTTTAATAAATATCAATTGTTGTAGCTCGAACTTTTCGAAGACGTATTTTGATTACTCTCTTCTCAAAAAGTTGCGTTTGCTCCGGTGTAATTTAGAAAAAGTGTCGAATTCGTCGTAAGATAATTTATATTAGAATGTAAGCGACGTAAGGAGTATGCAAATAGAATGCTTTTTTTATGTTATACGTATATTTTGCGTGTCTCGCGTATATATTTCGATTTTGATAATAAGTATTTTATTCGGGTTTTTTTTGTTGTCGAACTTTGCGATTATTTCTGATTTGTGATCGAAAGGAGTCGAAAAGTCTTTATTTTTGTACATATATATCTAAAGCAAATTTAAATATTCTAAATAATATATAAATGTTTTTTGCTCTTTCCGCTCTTTTTTTTTATTATTAAAAATTATTAAGTGATCTTTTAATTGTCGAGTTCTCGCGCGTTTGTTTTTCCTACCTGTTGTGTCTAATTCTTCAATCATTTTTTGCGCATAATATGTGATCCACCTTATGCATTTATGTCTTTCACCTATAGGTCGAGAGTTATTATCATACATCTTTTTTGTTGTCGTAGATCTTATATGTACGACCACATAGTGTGAATGGAATAGGCATACTCGAAAGATGTGATCTGCGTTATTCTCTTTCTACATTGATGTAATTTGTAATATACTCGCGTGCGTAAAAATAAGAACATGTATATATATATACATATATGTATACATGTATATGTATATATACACATGTTCGTAAAAATTAAATAAATAAGTGAACATTTACACGCCAGAATACGTATACGGAGTATTTAGGTAATAATATATTTACGTTGATACATACACATATACATACATATACACATGTATGTATGCATATATGTATGTATACACGTAACACATATGTATAAATATGTATATACCGTGTTGTTGCTGTTGATGTTGTTAATTGTAGGATAGTCAGAAAGAAAAAATACAATGGTAGTTCTATCGTATAATCACTGTTAACATAATGTTTTTAAGAGAAATATGCGAAAAACAAGTAAGAATTTTTTGCGTTACTTACTTGCGTTACTCGCACGACAAACACGTTTACGACTGAATTGTGTTGATCGCACAATATCAGTTGATCAATGTGCGCGTCACGATATTATCCGAGCTTGTACACTCATAATTGATACCAACATGTCTTAACCCAGTGAATTCCTTATAAATAAATAATAATCTTATTTGCCTGCCATGAAAAAAATCGATAATATTGATTGATAAACAATTTTATGTTTTGAGAGAGAGAGAGATAGATAGAAAAAGAAAAGACAAAAAAGCACATCGATAATACTGAAATCATTAACTTTTTAACAGTATTTTTCACACACACACGTTGCTATATATGATAAAATGACTTGTCAAATAACTATTTCTGAGAGAGAGAGAGAGAGAGAGAGAGGGAGAGAGAGAGAAAAAAAGTAAACGTGTTTGTCGTTTTAGAATAATTTATGAAAATATATATATATATATATATATGCAGACGTATATAATACATATAAGGATATATGTGTGAAATGAAACGGCCTATATACAAACGATCATAATAATTTGGCTAAGCTATTAGTATCATTCTGTTTTTCTCGAAAGTATCGTGTGCTCTCTTGTCCAAGTTTTAAATTGGAGCGTCTAAACGTCCGCCTCTGTCACAATCGTGTCAAATGTATAAAAGCAATGACGTCTCTCACAGGTTTTAAAGTATTTTGCTATCTATTTCTATCTCGCGTGCCTCTCTCTATTGCGTCAATCCTTTTGAGCTCACATAACAAAAAGTAATAAGAGTCTTTCCTAACAACGATTCTTCGTACCTGATCATATTGCCCTTAAACTTTTAGCGTCCTCCTTCGATTTTCAGCGATTCCATCGAAGGCGGGCGGGATCTTTTAACATGTAAATGCGTCTATATTAACAAAGAAGACAAGAAGCAACGTGTGTATTATATATTCTCTCTTTTTCTATCTCGCTCTTGGCCAAAATAATCTTTTGTAATTCTTATCCATGCCACGTCATTGTCAGTTGTCTTGTTGATTGTCAGTTTCAACACATAACGATAATATCGTTAATCGACATAGCGGAAAGCAGGTCATCTGATGTATACATTGATATTTTCGTAGATCTGTAAAACAAGTTTGCTCTTTGTCGTTTTCTCTCTTAAGTTACAGAACTCTCAGGAAAAAAAAAAAAATATCGCGTCATAACTCAGTACACGCATAAACGTACGTACGCACACGTATGTTTGGCAGTATCTTGCTTTGTATGTAAAGTATTTTGTGCACTTGAAACCGCACTTTTGCAAATGCTTTTGCGTTTAACGAGTCTATATACTGCAGATTCTCAGGATTGAAAGCTCGGTTATCAGGTATTGCAGCGTCGTAGATTTGCCTCGTAGAGTGCTCGCTAAATTTACCTATTTACGTGAGTATGAATTTATTCATGGTGACAAGAAACGCGCCCAAGAGAGAAAAAAAAGACACGAGACGGTACGAAGAAAAGAAAAAAAAATTTACTGAAAATTGACGTAATGCAGCAGCACTTGATATATTACGAAGTACGTATTAGAAACGTCTGTGTGTGCTGTATATGTACAGGATAATATACATACACACATATATGTATATGTACACACGTATACGTTATCTACTTTTGAGCTTAATGCCTGCGTATTGCCTTCTATACAAATTTCGTCTTCCTTTTGTAACTTGGTTGTATGAAATTGATTGGACGCATGTATTATAGTATGAAATTAAGATGAAGTTTTTTTGTTTATCTTAGAGTTTTTTTTCTCTCTGTGTCTTGTTGCGAGAGTTCTGTGTTCTGCTCAATCATTTGTACATTTGCGCGCGATGTCTTTCGATTGTGTAACTTTTAGCAAACGATTGGATAGAGCGAGTCATGTCTGTTGACTCAGAATTGCTTTCGCTTGTATCTATGCATATATATTTTTTTTATTGTTAATTTTCTTAATGATGTCTAGCCACTTGCGACGGCTCGATTTACATATGTTGTTTCTCATTTGTATATATTATTTATATTCTTTGATCGACAATTGAATTTGTTATTGATATCCTTACTTCTGTTATGTAACCACTAGTAAACAAAGGATTATGATTTGTTGTGTTCATTACGTGATGGTTTGGTTTTCAATGCTACTTTTCCTGTTTTTCCATTTTTCCATTGTTTTGTTTAGATATTTCAAGAAATAATTTCTGCTGATTAATTAATAACATATCGTTGATTTATAACGTGCGCGTATACATGTATTTGTTATTTTATATATCTTCGATACACATTGTCTGACAACAATGTAAACCAATTGTTACTCGCGCTACGCAGTGATATAGACAAAGAAATATCGCGCAAGACTATATGGTAGAAATAGTTTGTCTTCGCTAAATAGCAATGATTGTCGATTATTCACGTCGGCGACGTCTGATTATATGATATGATACGATATACATGTATAATTTTCTTTTGCAACGTAAGAACGTATATGTATATACAGTTCAATACGTTCCGTTGTATTGTATTTATATATATACTGTCATTGTACTGAAAATCTATAACTAAATATTAAAATAAGTTCCAAAAACCAAAAATTATAAATTAAAATAAAACCTATTGAGCTAAATATCTGTTGTTTAAGAGATAAAGATGAAAAAAGCTTAATATAATAATTTAGAACGTTTCATTATATTTTAATCTTTATTAGCCAAACTGAAAATATATAGACTCTCCAATGTAACAAAATAAAAATAAACAGTGAGTGTATAATACACGTTTAGACCGCTGTATTTATTTTTATGTCTGTTAACAGACTAAGATGAGCAGAGCATTTTAATGTAAGATTAATGTAACATAAATTAATGAAAACTGAGAAACGGTCAATGTTACAACAATGTTAAAAGTCAAAAAAAGTCAAGTAAAAAATAATCATGTCAATAAAAACTTCGTAAAGTTAAAGGGAAGAATTAAGTCAAAAATTATTTTAGTTAAACTCACTGTAAAGACTGTTAAAATGAGCGCTGACCTTCTTTAACGATCGACAACACTCACAGTCGCAAACGGAGGCTGTTCTGCACAACGTATAGAATATAACTGCGTGATAGAGAAACCGCAGTGAAACGCAAGTTAAAGTAACAGCAGAAGGGAGAAGAAACACATAGACCAATATATAGTTATCTATTTATCTTGTTGATTAATGATGTGTGTGTGTGTGTGTATATATGTGTATCAAAGAACTCAGTATTTTTCATTAAATTAACACCGCTTTTCTCCATTTATGTATAACATTTCAACAGATATTAATCTTTTATGATAAAAGTTTTAAATAGATATTAACATCATTCCATTGGAAATCATGACCGAAATCGCTGCGCGATAACCGCAGGTTGACGGTTATAATTCAATTGAAAATTACGCTCCTGTTCTGAAGTTCTTGTGCACAGTTGACGGTTGCGACTTAAACGCGAATAAACTATCTAAAGTCTGTGTATTTTTATACTTAAATTGTTTACTTAGTGGTTTTATATTTCATTGTATTTTTATAATTTGGCAGTTATATTGGAGAGTTTTTGATGAAGATCGAAATATAGTAATCAAAACGTTCCAAATTATTATATGTTTTTTCATTTTTGTCTCTCGAACAACGGAGATTTAGCTGAATAGATTTTACTTTAATTTTCATTTAAAAATTTATAGCTCACGTGATAGATTTTCAACACACTGGCAATGAATTTCGGAACGCAGCCAATATATGACATTATATACGCAAAATTACAAACACACACACACACACACACAGCGATTGTACGATCTATATGATCTTCACAGAACATAAAGGAAAAAAAACGATCAAAAGACAAACACAGAGATTTACTTTAATTAAAACTAATTTTTCCTCTGACTCACTTGTGCCTTGCCCTCGATCATCCTTCGCTGTTCTGTGTAAATATCCTTCTTTTCTAGATAATTGTATGTATTTGATGTTCGATGTTTCTCTATAGAAATAAGAGACTATCAAGTGAGCAGTACATTTAAGAGAAGCGTTACCTTGTTCTCACGCCGTAACGGAACTCTAGTTCGTAAATGATAAATAAATGTACCTATATGTACACCCCAAATACTTTTACAAAATTTAGCTGTTAAGATAATTCTTCAAGGTGATAATTACAAAACATCAGAATTACAAATAATGGCAAACTTTATTCGTAAAAAACAAAAATTATATATGTGAAGTATTTCCATGACGTAAATATATATATATGTTTTAAGTTTACACTTTCCAATTACAATTCTTGTTCTAACTCGAAGCAGTAATTCAGGGTAAAATAATATATTGCTCTATAATTTTGTGAATTTTTCTGTTCTGTGTAAACTTTATATAATATATATACAATATATACTATATACATAAAATTATATATATAATTATATATAATTATATATATAATATATATAAAATATATATATATATTATTTTATAATGAAATCTTTCAGAATAAAAAATGAAAACAAATTGATTGATATTCACCGGGTTTGATTAATTGTAAAAAATTCTGGTCAGAAAAGAGCGCATTTATTACATATTATATAATAAATGACTGAATAAAACTTACGATACAGTGAATCGTAAAAAATTGTCGTAATCAGATAATATTCTCGTTTCAAAACTTGCATCGAACAACTTGCAAATATTCAAAGCTTCAATCACTAAAAAAACAGATCTACATAATACTTTAATCTTACTGATTACATCCGTAAGAATCTACAGAAAAAGAAATATATATTATATTACATATATTCATTTTCTCTATCTGTCTTCTCTCTCTTTTTATCTTTCTCTCTTTCTCTTTCTCTCTCTCTCTTTCTCTCTTTCTCTCTCTCTCTCTCTCTCTCTCTCTCTCTGTCATATTTAATCGAAACCTTTTTATGCTATAGTGAAGTCTGACAAAGAAATTATTTTGAAGCTGAGTTTGCGCAAGAACAATTTACAAGTTATACGAGAGTCAGAAGGGGTCACGCATAGTAAATATTTGTCTCATGTAAATGTACAAAAAGTTTTGAATTGAGAATATTTTCTGTGGCGCATAGGTGTTTTGACACAATCGTTTCGATATTTTTCACGAGATTATTATCGCACTTAAAAAAAGCACGTCCGGTTTGGTCTTTGGATTTAAACATGCGAGTTCTCTGTTTTGTTACGTGAAAACAAGTAGCACACACTAAACAAAAAAATGCGTGCGATTAATGTTTTATCGCGAAACGTTATTAATAAATTACGGAGCGAAAATTGTAATAGATTATCGCCAAACTTGCGCTTTCGAGCTCGCACAGATCTCTAAAGTACCGAGACCGATCGTGCTTTCGAAGAAGCGCGCACACACACGGAGACGTTGTATGTGCAACCGACATTCGGCAAACAGTTTCTTCAAAAACCTATTTGTGTAAACCCGACTGTACGTGTATGTATTTTTTAGAGAATTAGAAAATGTTATTACCCGCTATGCAAAAAAGATATCGATACCACAATGTCCACTTGTACCCGTATAATATGATCCGTATAACAATTATAACGATATTCTATAAAAATGGCTGTACTCTACTGTAAAATCAAAGATATAGCGTACAATAAAGTTTAGTGTAGGAAGACAAAGCTACGAACGACATTATGCAGCTCTTTCTTCCTATCCCTTCTCCTTATGTATCGCGTTACTCAATAGAAACGTTTCTTTCGCATATCTTTCTCACAAAAATAAATATTTTAACTGTATATAAAGATATATTAATGAAACGAATAATTTACACGGGAAATTTTATCTTATTTGAAATATCTTATAATATACTATCATTTGTACGAGAGACACGAATATAATTTAGGTAGAGAAAAAACGAAGACTTTATTATCTGTTACGTGTGCAAATAAAATATTCGCTCTGTTCTGATAAGCCGGAAAAAAAGACCGATTCTGATTTCGCGTTTTACATTTATTTTTTTCTCCTCAAAAACAAACGAGAAAAAATCATACAGTAGACCAACACGCGTTTCTTTTTCATTCTGCTTGCTAGATCAGTATATTCCACGATAATTATAGTAACGGATATTATAAATTACATGTTGCATTAGATATTTAAATTTTGATGAAAATTATTAAAGTTTCAATTGTAATTGTTTAAACGCACGTAGAGGAAAAGAGGAACGGTTTTCGAATTATGGGATAAAAATTTAGCTGACATTAAGATGTTTTGCCATATAATATGTATTGACATTAAGTACATAATACATGTATATATTTTTTTAACTTCCTTAATAAGCGTCACCTCTCTATACAAGATTGATTAATAATTTAACTATCTTATAGAGAACATCACACAGTTGTGTAGAAAAATTATTAAGAAAAAAATTATTAAGGTTTTTCTTAACAATTAAAAATATTACAAACATCTTGTTGAATCATGTTGAATTTATGTTTGATTCTTTTCAGTCAGTTAGCATAATACATACGTAAAGCGTGAAAACGATAATATTGTCGCAATATTCTATAAAACGTTTGTTATTATATTTATATCGGTTTCATACATAGTATTACCACCACCAAATTTTATATTACAATTTTATATTAGAAATTTTTAATACATTTCACATTTTCATGTGATATGTCAACATCCGGTTTTTGCACATAAACTACCAGTATGTAATAAGATAAATTTAACTTGTCTTTGTTCTCGTTGTTTATTGTTTTATCTTTTATAGTAGTTTCATTTAATATTTCGTCAACCAATTTTTCGATAAAGTCGTTTCTCATATTATTAGGTAATCTCGTTAAAAAGGGATTGACAGCACACGCGTGATCTGCAAAAAAAGACAATCAGAAGTCTTTGGTTTATCGAATGTCTCTACAAAAAACAAAAAAACAAACAAAATATTTATCTTACTTTTCAGGCTTTGTTTATTGAATTTGTAGCTTTTTTTTCGTTTGGACAGATGCAGAACTTCGAAACCAATTTGTTGTAACATATTTTGTAACGTTTTTTCGGGATTTTCATCTTCTATTCTTTGAAAATAAGGTATGTAACGATGTGCATCCTTGAACAAATAAAAGGATAAAGTAGACGTAAATTTTAGTTTTGTATTTTTTATTCTCGTGTATTAGTCGATGTATAATAATTTTGTTTTTATTATATATATATATATATATTGCATATAATTACGTAAAGATATGGCCCATATACAGGACAATCCTTCAGTTTTAGATACGCTCGAAAACCACTGTGAAAACCAAGGAAGCTAAATAAACCTTTTCCTTGCGGTTTCAGCATTTTGTAAATGTTAGTGAAGGCTAGTCTAGAATTTATACTTCAATTAGCATGCTTGGAAAATTTGTAAGTAAAAAATTAATATGCAATAACAAAAACTAATGTCTTAAAAATTATGAGTTTTAAGAATTGTGATTTCTCGTTTGTGCGAAAAAAGAGAACAAAGAATTATCAAAAATGACTGCTTACTGTATGTCGTAAGTCCAGTGCAAGGCATAGAAAGAAACTATATGTTCATACTTATTAATTTGATCATTTGGTAGTTCAACTATTTCAATGTTAAAAACAATATACCGTATTTTGTCATGAGCATAATTTTTTTCGGCATAACACACCATTTTCTGAGAAATATCCGCACCTACATGTGACAATACATTTTCTTGTTATAAAAGACGTACATATATATAGTGTCAAAATTCGTTCACTTGATTATATTTACTACTAACCTATTATTTTATTGACGTTTTTTAAACGTGGCATTAACATCATTTTTGTTACTTTTCCTGGTCCACTTCCAATATCGAGAACGATACCATGAAACCGATCAAGCTCATCCGAAAATTCCTGCAGAACATCGAGTGTATCACGTTGCTGCATCTGACTTCCTTTATTAACATATTCATCACTTTGGTCCATGGTGGAGCTAAAATGTGTAAATATTACAACGCCTATCTCTGTATATATGTATATTTCGTATTAGTTGTAAATTATTTACATAGTTTTTCAGTTAATAATCAAAAAATATATACAACAGTAATTAAGCCAAAAGTCATCTTTAACGTAGATCATATCTACTTCTAAAACAGTTTGTTACGTACCTTCTAGTCTCCTATCTAGTGTTTTAACACTTTTAATTGTTCGAAAAAGAAAGAGAAATATAAGTGTTTATTTCTGTTACAATCTAAAAACTACTGTAAGATCTTAGATTTGAATTTATTTATTTAAATAACAGAAATTACTCGAAATTTTACCTGAAATATTTATCACAGTTTAATTAATTAAAAACCTCATAAACACTGTATTAAAAACCTCATCAACACTTAATAATAATCGCCAACTCACATCACATCAGTCGGTTTCGGAGCGCATAATCTTTTCGGGCATCTTCTCTCATCGGCAAGTGCGAACCTTCTGTCGCTTCTCAGCTTTACATCTTTATCGTTAGTTATTGTTTTGCTGTTTGAATTCACCTTGATTCGTCAACAGACATTCAATATATATACATAAAGTAGGGGAAAAAGAAAATATTTGTCATTAGGACGATCACACAAGTATACAATCTCGTGTTGTGAGACTTCTCAGCGTTAAAGTAAGTTTGTGTTCGACCGTCTTGATGACAAATGTTTTCCTTTTTCCCGAAGAAGCGAAGGTTCGCATCCGCCAATGATATAGAAAACGCTCGAAAAGATCGCGCGCTCCGAACCCGAATGAGTATCGTTGACGATTATTAAGTGTATATGAGCTTTTATATTTAAACTGATAATAATTTAACAAGTAATTTTTGTTATTTAAGCGCAAAATAAAATCTGAAATTGACTTACCGGATTTCTGAGTTTATTCTTTTATAACACACACACACGCGCGCGCAAGTGTTTTTTTTTTATAAATTGTTTGATCTTATAGAAAATCAGATTCCCGAAGTCTTCTTCAGGTCAGGACTTAGTTTGATATAGGTGACCAACTCACAATGCCAGATTCGCTTCTGTACTGCTAACTTTTTAACTTCGTCTTTAGTATTTATATTCGGCGACACTCACATACACACTCGTATACGCGACTTGCTCTTCCTCTCATTCATTCTCGTTCCCCTCTAGTCTGTTCTATTCTTTGGTGCCTCTACCTACCCCAACATCCGAATTCTTCCTTAAATCACTTTATTGCCACACTCTAATTTAAACATTAAATTCGGTAGTTCACCGACCCATACATCCGGTGTCGTTCAATTTCACCAGAACATATTGATAGTGTGAAATATATACAAATCGTATAGTAATAAATTAAAAAAAAAAATATATATATATATATATATTGTAGTTGTTTAGAAATCTCGTTTAAATTTCGCGTTTTTAACCGAACATTCCAACATTTGAATGAAAAAAAATGCAGTGTCCTTGCATCGCATACATGGATCATTAACGCAGGCCGTTTTGCGAACGGATTGTGCTGACACATATGTGACGCCGCAGGAAGACACCGATCCAGCATAACAGTTTCTATACATAGTTTGCCTATGTATTATTTTTTGTGAGTTTCTGAACAAGCCGAAGGCGCAGAGTTCCGCTTTCGAATCTTCTTCATTATCGGCCATTAGGACAACGGCCGAGTGCACTTCAGCCTTCAACGTAGAATCAAATTTATTCAACAATTTTGATCTCAAATGTCATATAATTTTTGTCTGAAACATTTTTTGAAGAAATTTTTCTTTTTCCAGATGTTCACATGTATTGAATAAAATGGTTTATTCTGCATATATATGTACATATATGTATATATATGTATATGTATATGTAGATATATGTCCTAATTAAATGTTTACATATGATATAGGGGAATCCTTGTTTGTCAAATAATCTTTTAAGTTCGTTCATATTTCGATGGAATTTTATTTGATCGCATATCGGAGTAAATCAGTTTTGCGCAACGCCTGTATAGAAAATATTTATGAAACTCGACGAGTTGACCCGATCTTCTCTGACGTCGAAACCATCTTTTCTTTCCGCCGTCTATCTCCATTTACTCCGCGCACTCCGTAGGATAATATACATTCGAGTCTCTTTCAAAGAGAAGATAACAAAAGATCGTAAGCGCGCGCGCTTTTCACGCACCACCAACCGGAGTTTATAGAAACTCGGTAAGAAGCGCACGCTCGATATGCAAGAAGGCAAAGAAGAAAGATGGAATATATTTTTTGTTAGACTCATTCGAACTTGACGTTTACATCATTGTCTTTTACTTTTATTGTACTTGATTAAATCACTTACGCCGCAAAAAACTTTGTTGTGAACTTGAGACAAAGAGATAGAGAAAGAATCTTTATTCGCGATAGTCGATTTGTTACATAATTGAAAAGATTTTAGATTTTTATATCTCTCTAAGTGAATAATAACAAAACGCGGTGTTCTAATTGGTATATTATCTCCGAAGTCTATAAAAAACTTAGGGCACACAAAGAGACAGAGAAAAGTCAGAAAATAAAATAAAATTATATATTGAAAGACGAAAAATCGATTGCTCCGTATAGTAGTTATAAGTAACAACTTATTTAAATAATACAAATATAGAAACTCTTTACACAAGTCGCGGTTTTTATTCGTCTTGTCGAGATTTCGATTTCTCCTGGCAATGGCGAGCATTTTCCGGAAATGGAAAAAAGTGTTACAACGTGTGTGTGCAAATGTGTGTGTGTATATATGTGTATGTGTGTGTGTGTGGGCAGATGTGTGATTGCATTGTAGATCGTGAAGTTTGCGAAGGATTTACATGACGTCGGGGTCTTCTCTGCTCGCGTTCCCGCTAAAACCACAAACATCCAATATTCGATCGTCTACTCTCTACTTGCAAAAGGGAATGGAGTAGAGGACAAAGTGGAACTCTCGTCTGAAAAAAAAAGTTTTGCGTGCGAGGACGTGGCCGCGTGAAAAAAAAAAAAAAAAAAAAAAAATTGTTTCAGGTCGGTAACTGCACAGCGGCCATTGAATTTTTTCGCAGGATTAATGCCCCGACCTTAATTGCGACGTTCGTGACTTTTTTTGTACAGCACCTTCCGATACGCGTGTCCGTCTGTATTTTCACTTTTATTCATCATGGCTGAAGAATACACTATATACATATATACACGGGTATACTGGAAAAAAGGCGGATATAATAATAATTACAGATATTGATCGACGAAGGCGTCTTTTCTTTGCCGAATAGGTAATATACCGAGCTATAGTAATGGACACAGGTGCGCGATAGGATCGTTTCGATATCTCGGTACTGCGGCACTTCTAAGGAAGGGCATGTATATATATATGTACATATGTACACATATATATACACGTATATGTGTACATATATATATATATATATATATATACATATAAAATAAGATATATGTATTATATCTTTCCTTCTTCTTCTTTCGCCACCCCTTTCTTTTACCATCGTCACTTTACCTAAATCCGGATCCGCGTATATATCGAGTGGGTGGGGGTTCAGAACGAAGGGCTTTGATAAATGACTGACGTGAAAAAAAATCCGCGTCGATACGTCTTGCTCAAGGAGATGCGCCGCGAGAGAAAAAGAGAAGACGGAGCGGAGAAAGAGAAAAAGGGACGGGGGGAGGAGAAGAGGAGGCTGGAGAGAAGGAGAAAAAGCCGTTCGGTTCTCGTTCCCGCGGTTCACCGGGAGATGGTTGTGTAGCCCGTTCTCTATATCTCGTACGATATGCATTCCCTTTTCGCACGCTCATTTATTAAAACCGAGAGTCGAACAACCGCCGCCGTTGCGTTCGCAAATCGATCCGCGTCGAAATGTTGCCGCGCGAGTATCGAGAGATTTCACGCTTCCGAAAATTCATTAATCTCCCGTCGTGCGCGCGGTGTCGAGTTTAATCGCGGCAATTTAAGTTTCCTCTGCGCGTATCGTGAATACAAACGACGCACATATTTTCGCTATGAGATCACGAAAATTTCGCCATTTTTGGTACAACGACATCGCGCCGCTCCTCGCTCGTAGACGTAATTTTTTTTACACGCATCTCACGCGCGAACTGCGCGGTAATGATTTAATTTATTTTCCCGAAAATACTATTTCCCTGATTGTTACTATTTTTCGACGATAAAAAACAAAAGATAATGAAGAAAGTTGAGCGTTGATACGTGTGGATATTCTCGTTGGATATTTCGGTCGGTGCTCCTTTCGCAGATGCGTGCTTTATCGGAAAACACTGAGTGAGATATATGGAGAGATTATGCGAGATGGCGTTTCGGAGTCGAACAGGCCGCTATTCTCCGCTCCGTCAATTATGCTAATTTCGATTGCCGCGAGATTAATGGAAGAAGGCGTCTCCGCTCCGAACGTTCTCTCTTTCTCCCTCTTTCTCTCTCATAAACGATTTGCTGGTGGGAGCCGTGACGTTCACTCGACCGTGCATAATGCACTCGACTTGCAATTATTGCAGATCCATTCTCGGTCGCTTTCAATCCCGAGCAACGGCGGCGTCGTTCGTCGTCGTTCCTTCCTTCGTTCTCGCGAAGAAACGCGAGTCAAACGAAATCACGATTTATCGTACCGTTATAACACGGCGATTTTCCTATACACAACATGTACGTGTGTGCAGACGTATACATGTGTATATATACGCGCGTGTATGTGCTAGATTTGCAAGTTAAATTGGTGCTTTTATAAAACAAAAATGACATTCCTTTCTTTTCTAATCAAAAAAAAAAAAAAAAAAAAAAAAAAGAATACGATCGTTTCTTTCACCGGCTGGTAGAAAACTACTACTAGGAAGAATTTCGTTAAGCGTGCGTGCGTATGCTCGCACGAGATATCGAGTGACGGGGAGACTACGCGGCTGAGATTCCTAGCGGAATGTATCGGAAACTGGGAAGAGTGTCACATGGGTGTTTTTAAGGAGAGGGGAGTGAGAAAGCGGAGTCTGGAGGAGGACGGGAGGCGAGAGGTGTAGATACCTCTCTCGGAGTGGGAAAGATATAGAAGAGAGGGATATAGAAGAGAGAAGCGAGAAGAAAGGAAGAGCAAAGAGGTAGAAGCTTGCCGGCGACACAGGCACATCAATAATACATGTCGTCTGCTGCTTGCTCCACCTCTTGCCCCCTTTCGTTGTCTTCCATGATCTCCGAAGCTTATAACTGGCTCTGACGCAAGTAACCTCTTTTACCCTCTCGCTCTCTTTCTCGCTCGCTGAAAATAAAGATATAGATGGAATTAATTTCACCGACTTCTTGGAAAATATTACACATCTTTTTTATCTCATCGCTACACCGATTCGTGTATTTACATACGTATATACAATAGGAGTGAGCGTTCCTTCTTTCTTACGCGCGTACACCGAGAATTGTGTAAAAATATTGTTTGGAATTAGAAAAAAAATTTATTTGTATATAATTTGTGCATTATTTAATTGAATTTTGTTTGTAAATATCTGTCACATATATATGGAAAGAACAAAAGAAATGTTTTATCTTATACGCGGATTTTGACGAATTTTGGGTCGTTGTATAAATTTTCTTTCTCTTTCTTTCTATTTTTTATTGAAATGTCAGCAAAGAAAAGAAAAAGAGAGAGAAATCCAGTTTGCTCTCAAAATATGAAAATCCATACAGTCGCGCGAGGAAAATATCCGTCATTTAAAATGGATGGATTTAGGATTAGGTGGATATAAAAGTGGAGGGGTGGAAGAAGAAACTCTGGTGGCAGTGCGCGCGAGGGTGGCACCTACTTCGGTTCGGAGGGTGGCCCGAGGGTGAACAGAGGGTAAAGGCGGGGGCAACTACTGAAAGTCGACGGAGGTGGC